GCGGATCCGTAATGACGTGTTTTGGGCTGCCTATGTCTATTTTATGTAGGGTTTATATACAGTTACTAAAGCCGAAATGTAAATAAACCTTTTTTATCCTTCTTAATAGTTGGTTGCCTAAAGGGCTATTCCAATAAAGAATGGATAAAAAAAATACTACTAGATGAAAGTTAGTGTGGCAAAGGATATTCATCTATACATATATAAGTAAAATTGGAGTGTCTGTTTGTAATATTGAAATAACTAATATTGAAAAAAATACCAATAGCTATATCGAATAATTTTAGATGCTAGTTTTCCTAATTCGAGAGGTGAAAGGCTATTTTTTATTCAATAAAAAAAACACTACACTCACTACCGTGTATTTGAAAAACACTCACACACATATACACTCTTTTGTTTATTATTAAAGTCTGTGGTCTAATTGAGAATAGATTAATACGAGTATTGTTTGTCTTTAATATTAATTGTCTATAGTGTGGTCTTGGCGAAATTTGTGATTATAGACATATAATAAATAGTCTTTGACAATAGAATCATAATAATCTTCAAACTTATAATTTCAATTAATTATAGTCGAATTTCGACTACTGGGGAACCACTAGTACCAAACAAACAGATCTTTAATTACAAAGATAAATGTCGCGTTATTTCGCTTAAACCAAATAGCCTAGATTTTACTCCTCGATGTGTAGATCCTCGTTCGTCAGTCAATTTTATGCTGGCGTAATAGAACGCAGAGTTGGTTTAATGTCTTCTAGGTTTTCGCAATCGTCCTTTCCAATCTTACGTCCCTATACGAAATAATTTGCGCGCCGAACACTAATATTCAAGTATAACCCGTTGCCTAACTCTTAGTTTTACCTGGCATCAAATGTATAACCTGAAACGTGTGTTCACGGATGCTCACGGCAGTTTAGAGCTTCAACACAGCTTAACACGGCTTGTTAATAATAGTGTTACCGAGTCCAGGCAACCCCCGACCGAGAGCCAGCGCTAAAACTATAAAAACGATCCCTCGCTGCGCCTTTGCCTCTTTTTTGTGCGTGGCGTTCGTGTGTGCAGTTCTTATTGAAACATGTTTGGGACTTGTGTAATTTTAACAGTTTTCGTTAATAGTAAATTGAAATCATTTTGTTAATTCAGTGAAATATAATTAGGCCAGTTCTGTGTTATTTATTTCTTTTTGTTAACTACCTCACTTCTGGTCGATAATAATAGTATCTCTAACAAGGTCAAAATGAACGAAAGCGTGACACGCTCACGGTATTATAACAGTTGTTTATTATAATTGCAATTGTCTGTTAGTCTGAAATTGTCTGAAGTGTATACAAACCACTACAAACATTACAAACATATTTTCACGATCCCATAAACAAATTGAAACAAGGTCTATATATGAATTTTTTTTTATTGCTTAGTTGGGTAGATGAGCGCACAGTCCACCTGGTGTTAAGTGATTTCTGGAGCCTACAGACATTTACAACGTAAATGCGCCACCCACCTTGAGATATGAGTTCTAAGGTCTCAGTATAGTTACAACGGCTGCCCCGCCCTTCAAACCGAAACGTATTACTGCTTCACGGCAGAAATAGACAAGGTGGTGGTACCTACCCGCGCAGACTCACAAGAAGTCCTACCACCACTGCGTTGGATGCAGGTGGCAACTTGAACTGGAGATCGATCTTACAGGCCCATGTTCAGCAGTGGCAGCTATAGGCTGAGATGATGTTAGCTGATTGTGAATTATGTCAGTCTTCAATATTTGTAGTTTTATTTTTAATAGGTAATTAAGTTTATTAAAAGAAGGAATGAGTATATCAAAGGCAGTGTGAAAGTAGCCCCGGTGATTGACAAATTAAAGAGCGGACGGTTAGCGTGGTGTGGACATGTGATGCGTAGAGAGGAGACGCATGTGACTAGGAGATGTATGGAAATGTTACTGCAAGGTAGAGGAGGAAGAGGTCGACCGAGAAGAAGACATGGATGGAGTGTGTGAATGACGTTATGAGAGAAAGAGGACTGAGTGTTGAGGTGACGGCTGATAGAAGAGAATGGAATAGAAAAATTCTCTCTGCCGACCCCACCTAGTGGGATAAAGTGGAGACAAAGAAGAAGGTCATTACCTTTATTATCCATTCGGTTTGTTTTTAATTAAATAGTTCGAATCTGCCTTATCTGAGTCACGTAATTGACGACAGCCTGTTTAAATTATAATTAGACGAACGAACTCTTGGATGAGCTGTGGTCAATGTTCGGACATTGTACCGGGAACATGGCAATGTCAGTAACATTGACCACTCGGATGTTACAGAAGCCGAAAAGTAAACACTCCCACTCCTTTAGACGTGTATCGTTTCGACTGCAGCTTGGACATAACTAAAACCACTATTAAGCTTCAATTTGATGACTTTATTGTAATCTATATATATAAAAATGAATTGCTGTCTCGCTAAAACTCGAGAACGGCTGGACCGATTTGGCTAATTTTGGTCTTCAGTTATTTGTGGAAGTCCAGAGTAGGTTTAAAAGGTAAAGATAAATATGAAAATGCTCGGAATTAAATAAAAATAACAATTTTATTTTTCCTTTGATGTCCCGTCGGACGGATTCCTTTTGTTTGCTTTAAGTTTATTTTATACAAAAGCTTAGGTCTTTTATTTCTCGATTGAGGCACTACGAAGTCTACCGGGTCAGCTAGTAATTGTTATAATAGTAATAACTGCGAACAAATCACGCACGTTCGTCCGGCCCCAAATTAAGATTCCCTATGTTATAGATAGTTATATACGTTTAAATATATAGATAATAGACACTCAGACAAAAAGCAAACAAACGTTCGTGTAACGAACACCTGTTCGAACGTTTGCCCGATGTGGAAATCGAACACATGACTCGGCGCAACGGTCAGGGTCGCTAACCACTGCTCCACCGAGTTAATCAATTGTAATTATTATAATCTTGAAATATCGACGATTCTCGTCGATTCTGGCATCAGGGACCACGAAAACTGTATTCTAAAAATCCAAAACATTCGTAATGACAATAAGGAAAACGAGATAAAATCGTAAAAGTGGCTTTAATTTTGTCTTATCACTCGCAAAAACTGATCAGAATAGACGTACTGTGTGAACGTAACCCGGAAAGTAAATCGTAAATAATGAAACCTCACAAATTACACAACAAGTACCTGAACATACGAGATATCGAAAAACGTATAATGTACAGATCTAGAAAATAATAATGTATTATGTAGTTTAAATACCATAAAATAACGCTGTAATAGCAAACCGAACTAACAATTCATTTCATCTTTCTTTTATCCTGTTGATACGATTCAGGATATTTGAACGAAATTACAACGTTATTGTATTCTCATCACTCCTTGATTGCGTGTGCGAATTTTCAAGTTCATCTGACGTCTTGAAGGCGGTGGAAATGACGTACAAAGATTCAGTTACATAAAAAACTGCGCATCAAGGGAAGCGTCAGAACGCTACTTTAAAAAAACGGTGCGACACGATAACCCTCTTATCGTGGCCGCCGCTAATGACATCAGCCTAGGCGAGGAGACAACGCTAACCGTCACTCGAAACGTGTTTTGTCGGATCTCCATTATCCACTTTGGGTGCATTTAGGATCTTCAAGCATCAGTCAGTGTCCGCTTCCGTTGTATTCTTCGCCGTAATCGACGGGTTCGTCGAGCGAATTAACCCCTAGACCATGCGAAGCACTGCTTCTGCTAAGGCCAATGTTCGCACATATTCTCAGATTGAGCTCCATGAACTCAACTACCAGTCACATTACTTAACTGGAATAGCCCTTTAAGCTACCAGTGAATATGTAGGCAAATAAATAATCGCACACACACCAAGGTATTAAAACGGTATGATTTACTTTCGTACCTTAGGTTCATCGTCTGCCTGTATTAAGCAAATGGTTCGGCTAAATTAGATCAAACACACCAGCTTAATAATTTGGTAGACTAATTCGAATCGACGGCTAGTTCCGTCAGACGGACTTTAAGGATTATGTTAAACAAAGGGTCTCTGGTTTCTAGATTATTCGGAACAACGAACCTTGCTCCACGAATCGTATTTCGGCTGACGGTGATGATAATATGTGATAACAGTCTTCGCATTTCTTTTTTGTTATTGGTTAGATGGATGAATGAGTTCACCTTGTAAGCGGAGATCTTAGAACTCATATCTCAAGATGGGTGGCGCATTTACGTTGTAAATGTTTATGTGCTCCAGTAACCACTTAACACGAGGTGGGCTGTGAGCTCGTCTAGGTGGGTCCTAAGTAATAAAAAAAGGTATATCTCACATTAGGTACGGCGCCTTGTGAGCCCGCACAGCTAGGGGCCACCGCCCTGCTTATAGATATAATTACCGAAATCCGTTCCCGTTCGAAGGGTGGGACAGTTCGTTGTTGATATCTATTGGCTCCGGTGACCACTTAACATCTGAGCCCAGAGCTTGCTCACACATCTAAGCGACATGACGAATATTCGAGTCTCATGGACTAAAACTAGCTATATATCATGGTCTATATATACTTAATATTATAAAGCTGAAGAGTTTGTTTGTTTGTTTGAACGCGCTAATCTCAGGAACTACTGGTCCGATTTGAAAAATTCTTTCCGCGTTTGATAACTCATTTATTAAAGAAGGCTATAGGCTATAACATCACGCTAAGACCAATACAAGCGGAGCACCAATAAAGAATGTTTCAAAATCGGGGTATTTGTCTCTTTTGAGAGCTTCCGCTGCTGCGCGCTGCGGAAACGGTTAAAGTTTCGCTAAAATAATGTATGACAAAATTGTTCCTCTTTAAAAGTTTTAAAAAAAGTCCGCGACAGCATATGTCTGTATTTAAAGGTTGGCTAACTATAACGTTTTTTATGCTAACCAAAATTGTTCTAAAATAAAGCATTATTTGTGAAGGTGCTAACTAAAGCATTTTTATCGACTAAATCATGTTTTTTATCTTTTCAGGATGTTTATCGTCACTCTGCATTTTCGTGCTGTACGCGAAGCACCTCATCATCGTATACCTTTACCTCACATCGCTGGGCATCGTGTTCGTGTCGTACTGGACCAATGTATCCGCAATCAAACAGATACAGGCTCTCGCACAGCTAGCCACCTCGCCTCACCACTCGTCCAGCATCCTCGAGGACATTCTAAACTTAAACCTTAAAAATCTGTTCGATCTCGACGGACCCGGCGTTTTGGTGGTACAGAACTTCGCGATACAGTTCGCTCTCTCGATCGTGTTCAGAAACGTCCACCTCGGGCCCCGCGTGCCTCTGATACAAAAGCTACTGCCGGTCAGTTTCATGGCCCCTTCGTTTTTGGCCATGCTACCGATGCCGCCAAATCTTCTGCACCACTCACCAGTATTTTCGTCGTTACTACCACTTCTCCTTGTCAAATTTGTACTGTGGTCGTCGACTTACACCATCATTCACGTTATCTACGCCGGCTACCAGCACGGTAGATTGTTTGTTAGCAATTACGGTCTGTCGGCGTTAGTCGAAACTGAGTGGATGCGACTTAATGTCCCCTGCGTTTTGAGGGTTTTCTGGGTGCTGCGAGTCGCCGAGCACGCCATTCTCCTGCTCATGGATAACTACGATGAAGACACAGAGGAAGGTGTCCGAATATCTACGCTGCTTGCTGTGCAATCGCTCGCTTCAATGGCCAAATCCTTACTGGTGACGGGCTGTGAAACCATCACCGCGGTATTAGGAATGACATCAGTGATCTCATTTTTCTGCCATTACATTGGAAACTTCTTCCAGTGGATTCTGTTGACCGACGAGGAAGAAGACAAAAGTATCGGAACCGTGTCGGCGATTCTGTTTTACATTTTAGCACTGCAAACTGGTCTAACTTCTCTACATCCAGAGAAGAGATTCATTCGTTTGTGCAAGAACGTCTGCTTGTTGTTCACGGCTCTATTGCATTTCCTACACAACATAGTCAATCCGATGTTGATGTCGTTGAGTGCTTCGCACAATCCGAGCGTTCACCGGCACGTCAGGGCTCTGGGCGTATGCGCGTTCCTGATAATCTTCCCCATATCGCTACTAGTGTACTTGTGGTCTCAACACAACGTGTCCACTTGGCTATTAGCGGTCACCGCCTTCAGCATAGAAGTGATAGTCAAAGTGGTCGTTAGTCTCATGATATACTCCTTATTCCTGATCGACGCCTACAGGAGCACGTTCTGGGAGCAGTTGGACGACTACGTGTATTACATACGCGCTTTCGGTAACACGATCGAATTCTGTTTCGGTATTTTCTTGTTCTTCAACGGGGCCTGGATCCTGCTGTTCGAATCGGGCGGGGCGATCCGCGCCGTCATGATGTGCATACACGCGTACTTCAACATATGGTGCGAAGCGAGAGCCGGCTGGTCCGTGTTCATGAAGCGTCGCACCGCGGTCAACAAGATCAACTCGCTCAAGGAGGCCTCGTACGCTCAGCTCAGTAATCTGGACGACGTGTGCGCGATCTGCTACCAGGAGATGCACTCGGCGAAGATAACGCGCTGCAACCATTTCTTCCACGGCGTCTGCTTGAGGAAGTGGCTGTACGTGCAGGACCGGTGTCCGCTGTGCCACGATATCCTGTACAAGATCGACAACGACGCGAACAAAGACTCGAACTCCGACGCCGAGGCGGAGGAGAACAGAAACAACCAGAACCATGTGTTGGAAGAGGGGGCGGACCTGCTGCTCGGGGATGGCGTGAGGTGGCTCCGCCAGAACTAATCTCCCATACTCGCTTGAATGTCTCTAAAGTATAATAATTTATATAACGACTTATTTGTGTGTGTGGTATAATCCTTTCGATTTGTATAGTAAGTTATTCGTTTTAATATTATAGTTATCAAAACGGCACACCTGTGATTTACGATTCTTTATATTATTATTATGTTTCGTGATAAATGATATTTCGTTAAGGGCGTTTGAACGTTCAAATGGACGTGTGGCTTTCGGAGTTCCCTAAAATGTACAAGTGAAAAATTACTAGTTTTCAAATTTATCAGGAGCTAAATGCAATAAATATTTATAAAAACAAATACAAATGCTTTAAAACTTTAAAAAGAAAAAAATACCGATTTTTTACAGAACGTTACGTACATATATGGCTAAAATTTGGAAACGAATTTAAAAATAGTAATTTTTCTCTAAAAAAAATTGTAAATAAAACTTTATTTTAGTAGAGCATTTGTTTGAATTATAATGCGTCGATGTTACCATTTTAAAGAAAAGTAACCGAACGAAAAATGATGTTAAGCAACAGATAAAATTGACAAAGGTAGCAGCACTGAATAAAAAAGTTCGGCTGAAAACTACGCGTGGCGGGGCTGCATTTTAAAAAAACCACATAGCGGTGCTCCAATATAAAACTCGGGCCCAATAAGACTTCGATAGATGACGACCATAGGGCCCTCTCTTCTTACCTCCGTAAGGAGCGTATAAGTTTCCATACGTATACGCTCCAGGAGGAGCGCGAACTCCGCGTTGTAATACGCGGAATCCCTAAAGAGTTAGATGTAGAGCTCGTAAAAGCCGACCTGTTAGAACAAGGCCTACCAGTGAATTCTGTGCACCGTATGCACACTGGTCGCGGTAGGGAGCCATNACAAAAAAAAACAAAAAAAAAAAAAAAAAAAAAAAAAAAAAAAAAAAAAAAAAAAAAAAAAAAAAAAAAAAACTTCCATAGATTTAGTAGGGCCGCACAATATGCGCTAAGGGCAACTCTTTATTCATATATTGAGCCACGGCTTACAACAAGGCTTGGATCACACTAAACACTGAAGCGAGTGGGCCGTAAGAGCCCGCAAAAGGCCGCGTGTATATCAACGAAATTTAAAAAAAAACATAACAAAAGCGCTTCATCAGTGTTGCCAATGTTGAATCTAGTTCTATCTGAATTATACAGTCTCGGGAAATTCGATATTTACTGGAATGTATGCTATGACAGATTAGAACCTACCGAATGTTGTCTGTGTTTCTACACTACGTGAACAGTTCAGTAAAAGCTACCAAAATCGTATCGCCCCGGCAACTGTGCATAAAATTTAAAGCGACCTTCATTAGGGTTGTCTCTGTTAACATAATCTTTTTATCAATCAGGGTTGGTACAAATAAAATTTTTACATAAATTAAATAAATTTATTAATATAACAACAATGGATTCACGGTTATTAATTGAATATGAGATCGTTGTAATTTGAAAGTAGATAGTAGTTTGAGACTCGGCAATTTGTGGAAGTTCTGACCACGGTAGTGCGGTCGGCACGCTCGAAGTTAGCCTTCACGATCTCGTAGTACCGGCCGTCGCTGAAACAAAACTCTTATTCAAATAACGATGTAAGACGTTGCCCATTGAATATTAGAAAAAAGTGTGTGTGTGTGCACAAGTCACAAATGGTAGAAGTGAAACTTTTAAAACAATAAAAATAATCGCAAGGGTCAACCACTCCACAGTGCAATGGAGCAGCCGCACCCCGGGGGAACCTGCATGATCACGGTATCCGGACGCCAGGTAGGTATGATTAAGCAAGAGAAATACGAGAACGTCTATCAACTGTGTAACGTCTTGTCACCGCGATTCAGGAATTGTTGAATTTACGTGCAGCGACATCTGTTGATAACAAACTAAATAGAAATAATTCTATGGACTTATTTTTTCGTTTCGTTTCATTTCGTTTCATCGAGTTTGAAATCACAACGATTCTAAAGAAGTTTCAGTTCAATAAACTGCACTCAACATATGAGTCGTCTATTATCAAAGGTGTGCATTTGGACAAAAAAAAATTATTGATATTTCAATACAGATTGATTTGAATATAATCGTCTCCTTCAAAGAATACGGTTCAAAACCTGCATTAAATAAAGGTTAATACTTAACCTGTTATTTATCTAAGATGTCGTTCAGAAGAGTTTTGTGACTGCCAGTGGAATACAAAGTCAATAATTCGTTTTTCTAATTTACCAATAATTATCCAAAAGTCACATTGCCGGCTTTGATAATAGTCGACTCATATTATGTTATATATGAGGACGTCGGCGCAAAAGTGGCCTAACCCACAATTCATATTTATGTTTATGCCTAACCCACAATTTATTTAAAACATAATAAATTTTGATGCAAAATCGGCCTGTCCTTAGTTTCAATCCATAGACAACAGATAACTTTGTAAACATAATTTTAGCGCGTATTTTTTTGCTTTTGTTAAGTGGTTACTGGAGCTCGGACAACGTAAATGCGCCACCCGCCTTGTGATATGAATCCTAAGGTCTCAAGTATAGTGACGACCGCTGCCCCACCCTTCAAACCGAAACGCATTATTGCTTCACGACAGAAATAGGCAGGGCGGTGGTATCTGCCCGCGCGGATTCACAAGAGGTCCTACCACCAGTAAATGTCAGTTGTCAATGTCAAATGTCACCAGTTGGGCATAAGATCTGCGTATGTATAAACCTGTATACACAAACCTTACCTCAGCACTAAACATTTTAGTTTCAAACACTTGACGCGGAGTATATCGATCGCCTTCTGGCTCTTGTCGCTGAAGCGCAGGTTCTCCGGGTCCCAGCGCAGCTCCAGGCGCTCCAAGTTAGGGCAGCTGTTCGCAATGCCATCCATCAGCTGGAAATCGGAGATTAGAAGGATATTCATGAAATGGGTAATCGTGTTCTAGAGAAAAGATCGCGAATTGACAAACGTAATATAGGACGCCCTCAGACTCGGTGGAGCGACTATCTATAGAGGTGGCTGGCTAGAGCTGAATGAGCGAAGTCGAGGATCGTGCAATTGGAGAGGCCTGTGTCCAGCAGTGGACTGCTATGAGAGGAGATACTTTTTTTTTTGCTTGACATCTAAGATCTATTGAGGACCATCGAGAACTCGTTGCGAGTAGCATGGCCACACTGTACCGGTGGTAGGACCTCTTGTGAGTCCGCGCGGGTGTAGGTACCACCACCCCGCCTATTCCTGCCGTGAAGCAGTAATGCGTTTCGGTTTGAAGGGTGGGGCAGCCGTTGTAACTATACTGAGACCCAAGGGCGGATCCAGGGGGGGGGTCATGGGGGTCATGAGCCATACTTTTGTGAAAAAGGTATCAAAACATCGGCATAAGTGTATCTAGATACGATTCTTGAGAAGGCAGTGAAGCCCCTTAACAACACCATGTTCAATAATCAAGAATGGTCCTTCCAGCAAGACTCGGCGCCAGGTCATAAAGCTCGGTCTACGTAGTCTTGGTTGGAAACGAACATTTCGGACTTCATCAGAGCTGAAGACTGACCGTCGTCTAGTCCCGATCTTAATCCGCTGGATTATGATTTATGGTCAGTTTTAGAGAGTACGGCTTGCTCTAAACGCCATGATAATTTGGAGTCCCTAAAACAATCCGCACGATTGGTAGTGAAAAATTTTCCTATGGAAAGAGTGCGTGCTTCTATTGATAACTGGCCTCAACGTTTAAAGGACTGTATTGCAGCCAATGGAGACCACTTCGAATAAGCTTTTTATACTTTAAATTGTTTTATATTTATGTATTAAACTAACACACTGTAAAAGTAATAAATGTTATTTGCAATAGTTTTTTTTTTTCCTTTGTCTCAGTATTTATGGCAAGACTAGGTATATTATTGCTCCTTATATTGCTCCTTAATTAATTTAATATAATATAATAACTTTGTATGATGGCAAATGTTTGGGAACGAACGCATCGAAAATTTGAATTTTACCGCGCCACACTCGCGCGCGCTTGTCGACTACGTAACGTCTAGCTAGGCCTAACCTCGAATTGAATCCTAACCTCAATCGGAATCGGAACAACTAAACTTCAACATATCATAACATAGTTCTAAGTTTAAAAACTAAAATTTCTTTATACCTTTAATGTGGTTATAATAAAATACCTACTTTTTACTTGTATCTATTGTTATCAAAATTAAATTATAAGTTCTTGACTTGACCATGACTATGTGACCTCCTCCTGACACCAAAGCTGGATCCGCCCTTGCTGAGACCTTAGAACTTATATCTCAAGGTGGGTGGCGGCATTTCCGTTGTAGATGTCTATGGGCTCCGGTAACCACTTAACACCAGTTGGGCTGTGAGCTTGTCCACACATCTAAGCAATAAGAAAAAAATAGCTACGGGCTTGATCATCACTTGTATATTTTTTTTATATTGCCCTTATAGGCCGACGAGTATACGGCCTACCTGATGGCGAGTGGTTACCATCGCCCATGGACATCAGCAAAGCCAGGGGCAGAAGTAAGCCCCTTCCCGCCATTAAATCGTCATTTGAAGTCGTCGTGGCCTAACGGATAAGACGTCCGGTGCATTCGTGTTGAGCGATGCACCGGTGTTCGAATCTCAGGCGAGTACCTACCAATTTTTCTAAAGAAATACGTACTCCACAAATGTTCACGATTGACTTCCATGGTGAAGGAATAGCATCGTGTAATAAAAATGAAACCCGCAAAATTATAATTTGCGTAATTACTGGTGGTAGGACCTCTTGTAAGTCCGCGCGGGTGGGTACCACCACCCTGCCTATTTTCTGCCGTGAAGCAGTAATGCGTTTCGTGGGGGGCTGTGAGCTCGTCCACCCATGAAAGCAATAAAAAAAAAATGCGAGTAGATGTATTCGCAAAGCAGCTGCCCTTGCGCTGTTAGGTCTGGTTCGCGCTCGGGCGACAGCTAGGCGCACCTCCCGGCTGTACCCGGCACTGGCCTACCCGCACTGATGAAAAAAAAAAGCGACTACTTTTTGTGAAAATCACCTGGTCAACGTGAATGTTGATCCCGAGACGCTCCTGAGTTCCCATTATAAGGATCCTGTAACGAAAATACGTTATTTTTAAATACATACATTATATTTATTTATGATTACAATCAATATTCGTCTTTTTTTTTGTTTAATTTTTTTTTTTAACCTGTGCTGATAGCCTTGAGAGGCTATTTCAGCTTCACCCTAACGTTTGTAGGTGAGCTCACGGGGCTCAACCGGAGAGTTGCTAACACTGACCCTAGCAAGAGCAGTGCTTCGCAGAATCTACTACCGGATCGGAAACGCGACCCACTGAGAAGATCCGGCGAGAAACTCAGTGGGCTGTGTTTATGGGTTAGTTCGAGCCCTTCGTCGCAAGCGACGGGTTCGACGAGGACGGTGACCGGTGCTTGTGGTACCTAAAAGCACCGTTAATGGATCAGGACTAGTTTCATAGGTAGCTTTATAGTGTTCTGTATTTTGAAATTATACTTCTTTAGGCGCATTATGAAAAATTGATGAGAGTGAAATTTTACGATGCGCGCGCATCGTGACACAAAATTAACAAAATGAAGTTGCCCACTAAATCGCTCATTACAATACGACCGACGTAACTTGGCGAGATTGAATATAGCCGTAGATGAACTTTCCGAACCGTACCGAGAATTACCGAATTTATACGATTTCAAGAAAAGGGATGTCCAATATGCATGTTGGATGTTGTATAAGGATGTTGTTTAATCGATTTTTTTTCAAATTGATTAAAATTTAAATTAAAAAAAAGAAATAAATTTAATAAAAATAAAGTATAACTTATTACGCGCGTACATAAGTACACGCACCCTTTTTTTATTCAGTTTTTTATTTTAATGTCAATTACAAAACTTAAATAGAAATTTAAGACAGTAAATTAATCGATGATATATCTCCAGTTATGTATCAGTGATTATAATCGAATCTCAATAATTAAGCGAATACTAGTAACCATCATAGTTACACTCAATACTTGAAGAATTTGAAGAGAAAGGTACTTTTACGACCTTAAAAGCGCATGTCACATCAAATTGTTGACGAAAATGTAGTTTAGGAATTTGTGTATCCACGCTAAATCAACCAATATTAGTTTGTAATTCCTGGGCACATATATTAATGTTCAAATTTAAGCGCCATATGGCTTGATATCGCTATGCAATAATCAAAAGGGCTTTTTCCGTACCTATCCATTGATAGCCTAAGGACAGGCAGGTGAGCTCTATTTCAGCTATGCACCGACAGGTAGGTGAGCTCATAGACTCAATCTGAGAGAATTTGCTAACACTAGCCCTAGCAAGAACAAAGCTTCACAGAATCTATCATTAGATCGGAATCGCGACCCACTGAGTAGATCCGGCGAGAAACTTAGGGATCTGAAAAAGTGTCGAATCAGTCAAAGGCCGCCAGGTGGGCGGTTATTACTTAAATAACGAGTATGGTATTTCAAGGTGGGTGGCGCACTTACGTTGTAGATGTCTATGGGCTAACCACTTAACACCAGGTGGTAATACGTACTCAACAAATGTTCACGATTGACTTCCACGGTGAAGGAATAACATCGTATAATAAAAATCAAACCTGCAAAATTATAATTTGCGTAATCACTGGTGGTAGGACCTCTTGGGAGTCCGAGCGGGTGGGTACCGCCACCACGCCTATTTCCGCCGTGAAGCAGTAATGCGTTTCGGTTCGAAGGGTGGGGCAGCCGTTGTAACTATACTGAGACCTTAGAACTTATATCTCGAAGTGGGTGGCGCATTTACGTTGTAGATGTCTATGGGCTCCAGTAACCACTTAACACCAGGTGGGCTGTGAGATCGTCCACCTGTTGTTAGTCGTTGTGAGTCTCGCTAAAACTCGAAAACGGCTGAACCGATTCTGCTAATTTTGGTCTTGAATTATTTTTGAAAGTCCAGAGAAGGTTTAAAATGTATATAAATATGAAAATGCTCGGAATTAAATAAAAATAACAATTTTGTTTGTTCTTTGATGTGTCCCCCGTCGGACGGATTCCTTTTGTCTTTTATTTATCGATTGAGGCACTACGAAGTCTGCCGGGTCAGCTAGTAAAAAATAATAATAATAATAAAGTACTTAGCGTTGTTGAGCAGCTGCAGCACGCTCTGCCACAGCTGGTCGGTGATGTGCGGCATCCCGCCCAGCACCAGCCCGTGCAGCTGCGAGCCGTGCCGCGACAGGAAGCGGTGCAGCGCCTCGTCCGACAGGTTGTCCGACGAGTCCACGTCCAGCGCCACCAGGTTCCTTACGCAAACATCTTTTTTGAAGTCAAACTTCTTTTTTTTTATTGCTTACTCTCCGTAATATTAACTTATCTGGAATTATTTATCTCTACTACCATTTTATTATAGGATCGTTTCGACCTTAAATTAGGAATGAATAGTGGAAAATGAGAGCTCAACTTATAATGGTTAGTTTTCATTCTCAAATATGGTTAATCTGTTATAGGTACAGATCGACCACTGTGTTCTGGTGGCCCGGAGGCCTTTCCAGTTTCACCAGGACAGGTGGGGAGCAAAGGCTCAGCCAAGAGGGGTGGGATTTGCTAACAGCTGCCGGAGCGCCTCTGAAAGAGACCTCAGAACTCAAGAGCAGCTGCTTCGCGAATGAATCTACTACCGGATCGGGATCGCGACCCGCTGAGAAGATCCGGCGAGAAACTCAGCAAGCTGACGCATTGGTTAGGTTGCACGTCGACCTCTTTGTCGAGTTCGACGAGTACGGTTAGACCAGTATGTTATAGTTTATTATCTACGATGGTAGACTAGTGTATGGTCGACCTACGATCAAGTGATCATGGTGACTCACCGACGCTTTGAGCAAAGCCAAACCTTAGCCTCTGCGAAAACTCTTGAAATACCGCACAAGAAATCTCCTCACCTAGCAGTCCCAGCTTCCACCCAAGCTTTAAGTACAGAGTCATTGAACCCGTTGATTTGGCCGGCGCTCAGAAAGCGCAGGTTCGGTATCCGGGTGAGCATGTCTATCAGGCACTCGGTCGACAAGTCTGTGGCGGTCAAATCCAATTCCTGGACGGAAGACTTCTCCCACTCCACTTGCATTACGTAGTCGGATCGAAGACCTGTGTGATTTATGTATTTATTTAAATAAAGTACTGCCACATCACAAACATTTAACTTTGAATAGTACATTGTGCACCAAGGGAGAAAAGTTGGACATTTCCCCCCGCGTGTAAAATTGACAAACACGCGGGATGAAATGTCCTACTTTTTTCCCGCGGTGCACATACTATTCTTTCTCCTACCAGGCCGAAGGTTCGTGGAGTACCGAGCCGGGGTCCTGAGGCGAAGTCCTGGCGGGGGGTAGGGGGGGCGGAGGCGATTGCATGCAGCAGAGATGCGAATGTTGCGATAGATGTGTGGAGTAACGAGAACGGATAGAATACGGAATGAATATGTTAGAGGAAGTCTAAAAGTGGCACCTGTGACAGAGAAGCTGAAGAGTGCGCGTTTGGGATGGTATGGACATGTGATGAGACGAAATGAAAATGAGGTTGGTAAGAGAATGTTAACTATGAATGTGGAAAGATATAGACGAAGAGGTAGACCTAAGAAGAAATGGATGGATTGCGTGAAAGACGATGTATGTGTAAGAAGGGAGTGAGCGAAGAAATGGTATATGATAGAAGAGTATGGAAGGAGAAAACATGTTGCGCCGACCCAAGGTGACTGGGAGAAGGGCAGGATAATGAATGAAGTGTCGCCGCCTGTACTTACTGCATCCGTTCATGAGGAGGCAGGTGAGTCTTCGCGAGCGCTGGAACAAGGTCTTCATGGTGGATCCCGTAACCTTGTTGCAAAAGTTCACCGCCAAACATTCCAACTGGACGTGAAAATAACTTTAAACATTTTAAAGCTTAAAAATCTGTTCTTTAGTGGTTAGTTAACTGGTTACCAGAGCCCATGGACGTCGACAGCGTAAATGACGACATCCAACTTGAGACTTGAGTTTTAAAGCAGCTGCCCAGTCTTCAAACCAATGCTTTACGGCAAAACTACTGGTGGTAGGACCTATTGTGAGTCCGCACGGGTAGATACCACTAACCTGCCTATTTCTGCCGTGAAGCAGTAATGCGTTTCGGTTTGAAGGGCGGGGCAGTGGTTGTAATTACACTAAGACCTTAGAACTTATATCTCAAGGTGGGTGGCGCATTTACGTTATAGATGTCTATGTGCTCCGGTAACCACTTAACACCAGGTGGGCTGTGAGCTCGTCCACCCATCTAAGCAATAAAAAAAACTCAGTGGGCTTTGTTTATGGGTTAGAGCCCACTGAGTTTCTCGCCAGATCTTCTCAGTGGGTCGCGTTTCCGATCCGGTGGTAGATTCTGCGAAGCACGGCTCTTGCTAGGGTTCGTGTTAGCAACGTCGTCAGGTTTGAGCCCCGTGAGCTCACCTACTAGTTAAGGTTCCGCTGAAATAGCCTCTCAAGGCTTATCAGCTTAGGTAGGAAAAAAAATATATGGGTTAGTTAGTTATGTGTCTATGGGAGTGGACACAAGTTACCTGTATACAGTTCGAACTGAACGCGTCGATATGCGAGTCATCGACAAAGTTTATCCCGTACAAATTGATGACTCTTAGGTTGGGAGTTGCCGATTTCAATTTGTGAACGTTTATCACTTCGTATATCTCTTCCTCTTCCTCTTCGACCTTCTCGTACGTGCCTGAGCGAGACAGAAATAAATTCCACAAGGCTTTCCGTATTTTTAAAATTCTACATTTAACTACTACTAGCTTTTGCCCGCGACTTCGTGCGCGTGGAATAGTTCACAAATAATGCTTTATTTTAGAACAAATTTGGTTAGCATAAAAAACGTTATAGTGAGCCAACCTTAACATATAGACATGGAGTTTTTTTTAGATCTTTTAAAGGGGAATAATTCTGTCATACATTATTTTAGCGAAACTTTAACTGTTTCTGCAGCGCTTGCAGCGGAAGTTCTCAAAAGGGAAAAAAAAAAACGATTTTGAAACATTATTTATTGGTGCTCCGCTTTTATTAGTCTTAACGTCTTCGATGTTATATAGCCTATAGTCTTCCTCAATAAATGGGCTATCTAACACTGAAAGAATTTTTCAAATCGGACCAGTAGTTCGTGAGATCAGCGCGTTCAAACAAACAAACTCTTCAGCTTTATAATATTAGTATAGGTACATATGAAAAGGTGTGCACTGTTTTAGGATTCTTCAAATATTTGAAATTGAAATTTTGTTGATATTATCGCTTAAATTAGTGGATGAGCACATGACTCACTCGTCTTTAAGTGGTTACCGGAGCTATATACATATCGACGCTTGAAAGGCAAACATGACTAAGCGACAATAACTGCTTTGTACATAAATGATAGGTAATAACCATATTCGATGCGCAAAAAAAATATATTTCTAGGTCTATTAAAATAATTTCAATCCTACAGCTAGATTCGTTAAAATAAATTTTGTTTTCAGGTATTTCAACTTTAAATTATTATTAGTCTACTGTAAAGTTCACGCATTGTCGCTTAGTCACGTTTGCCTTTCAAGCGTCGATATATAGACCATCAATCTTCCACCTTAATTTCTAAGTCTCAGTTTGATAGTAGCTACAACGATTTTATGTATATCGCACCTCTAGAATTGAAGTGGCTAAATACAAAATATTCTTGTTTTTTTTGGTAAACGCCAAAAATGTAATCGAATTTTAATTTGTTATTTAGTTTTTCGATTTTAATACTTTAGGTATGCGCTTGATTTAAAAGAGACGGAAAGAGTACGTTTTTCCTTTTTTAGGCTAAAAGAAACCGTTTAATTTTATAAACTGATAGAATACCTACTTTTTTCATTTTTTATTGCTTAGATGGGTGGACGAGCTCATAGCCCACCTGGTGTTAAGTGGTTACTGGAGCCCATGGACATCTACAACGTAAATGCGCCACCCACCTTGAGATATAAGTTCTAAGATCTCAGTATAGTTACAACGGCTGCCCCACCCTTCAAACCGAAACGCATTACTGCTTCACGGTAGAAATAGGCAGGACAGTAGTACCTACCCACGCGAACTCACAAGAGGTCCTACCACCAGTAACATGTTTATAAGTCGTTCCAAGTATAAAACTGAGTTTCTTAATTTTTTTTAGTTAAGTTACTTCAATTCTAAGCGTGCGATATCTAAAGAAAATGGATTCCCTTTAACTAGAATTTTACCGCGCTTTTTCCATGTTTGAATAGGAGTTCGAATTAATGTCATGAATGTCAATATGTCAGCGGCGACCGGTAGTCGAAATTCGACTATAATTAATTGAAATTATATGTTTGTACACTATTATGATTCTATTGTCAAAGACTATTATTATACTTCTATAATCACAGATTTCAACAAGACTACACTTTAAACAAAATTAATAAAGACAAACAATATTTAATTTATTCTTAATTTGACCACAGACTATAAGTAATAAGAAAAGTTTGACAATAAACAAATAATGGTTTGCATGCGTGTGTGTGTGTAATGTTTTGATTTTATTGATTTAATGTTAACATTCTGCACTCCATCTCTATATTCTCTACAAGTGTCGGAAATTTCAAACTCCTCCGTCCGCGCAATTTTCGTAAAAAGGGGTACAAAGTTTTTGCTTCACGTATAGAGTATACAGATAATAAATCGGAGACTCAATCAAATCTTATCTTATCTTATTTTTCATAAAATTTAGTATACAGCGGATTTCGGGGCGATAAATCGATCTAGCTACGATTTATTTTCAGAAAATGTTGTTCTATTCGTGTTTTCAATAATCAACTTTATGACTCTTCCCGACATCTATTGGCGAATAATAATACTATTTTTCTTAATTGAGAGCAACTAACTGCTTTAAAGACATAGTAACACTAAAGCTACTTCAGCAGATGGCGTTGTTAAGCAACCCGAAGCGAAGTGTTTGGTTTGAGGTTAGACCAAGAAAATGAATTATTTATTTATATTATTTGTCTTTTTAACTCACGTGCTCATTTAAAAATGCCTAAACGATCTTGGGATATTTCGTCATTTTATCAATATGTAATTCGTATTTAAATATAATTTCTAATAAACACAGTTTATAAAAAAAAAAAATAACGAGCATAGCTCGGTCATCATCCAGTAATACTTAATGCTACACGATATTTTAGTTACGCACCGATTAGATGCAATATCTCTAGGCCGTTTATGAAATTGTAAATCTTTCGCATGAATCCCTCCATGAAGATGACCTCGGACAGACAGATGCACAGGTAGCGGAGCTTCGTCGGGAAGGCCTGCATTTCCGAGAAGTCGTGGAGTTGCATCGCTGAAATACGTAATAGTCAAAATAATAATAAAAATAACTAATAGTTTAAAAAAAAACAAAAAAAAACGTTTTTATAAAAACGCTTTTTTTAAACGTTTTTATAAAAACGCCTTTTTTTACATTAAAATATTTTTTTCTTACACTACTTTTAATTCAAATTTCTTAAAATTTGTTTTCTATTTTTTAGTTGGATTTTCTAAAAAAAATATTTTTTTAGTTTTTTTAAACTATTATTTATTTTTCATTTTTTAGTTGAATTTCAATGTTTACAAATTTTTTTTTTTTTTTTTTTAATGTTGAATTGTCATCGTTCCTTAAAAAGTATACCAAATTTCGAGTTAATCCGACGTTTTGAAGGGGGTCAAAATTATGTTCAAAGATTCCATTACATACTAACATACATACGTCTGAAGCTAATAAAAGCGTTAAGAAACTTGTTATCCAGCTGGGTTAGGGGCCTTGTACAGAAATCAGTTATCCTTAATACGGCATGTATTGTGACGAGGTTTCTCACTCTGGAGTCCTAACCACTGGTGGCTTATGTCGTAGAGAAAAGGGTTTAAGATTGTTAAAAACAATGCAACACTCACCAGTACTAAAATCAAGAAGCATGTGTGTCAAATTAGGGCATTTAGCTGCCAGCTCGTGGAGGACTGTGTGTGTTATCAGCTCTATTGGAAGCTCTATATAACGCAGCGACGGTCCAAATCTTATTGATATCAGCGCTAACAGTGATTCCAGAGAACCTGAAATTTATGAGACACGGTTCGAAATAAAAAGTAGTATTCGTCACTATTTTCACGGTACCTTTGCCTACAAAAAATTTATGGTATTTAAAAAATTAAAAAACCAATTAGGGAGGCGCCACTTTAGCAAGCGATGTCACTTCAAAGATGGCGCCAAATGATTTTTTTCAAATCGCTACACTTCACTCCGTTTACATCTGCAAAATTAATATCTACATGTGACGCTGCGCTAATTTGGTGGGCTTTTGTCACAGGCTTTTGTGTTGTAAATTGCTGCTTACAATTGGACACTTATCCAACAATTCTTCATATACCCTCCATAGTTATTGAATAATCAGTGTCAGATAACTCAAATTTGTGTGGAGGTTGCCTACGTCTGCCGCTAGGGGCGCTGTTTCAACTGCATAGAAATTTTAGTTAACTTTTACGCTATCGAGAACGTTAAAAAACTCACACTGAGCACACTGGTCTCTTAGTGAAACTTTAATACTTAATATTAGAGTGACCATAAAAAAAAACATTTAATAGTCATAATATGTAAATTTAAAGTTTTCAGAAATAAATAAGAAGATCGAGGGGATTTTTGGTGTTTTAATAAAACGTATTTCCGAAATAAAATTTACATATTACAAATTACAAAATATAATATAAAATTTTAGCGCTATGAGCGAGCTTGTCCTTCTTCAAACGAGGCTTGTGGAGAGTACTCAACGGTAGGCAGCGGCTTGGCTCTGCCCCTGGCATTGCTGAAGTCCATGGGCGACGGTAACCACTCACCATCAGGTGGGCCGTATGCTCGTCTGTCTACAAGGGCAATAAAAAAAAATACATATTATATTATACATAAAATAGTAGGTACTTACTAACGTGCAATCCTGATATTTCCGGCCTCAAACTAACGTGCGTCCACAATTTCGTGTCGTATGCAACCATCCTCCATCGCCTGCAAACAGTTGCCATACGACATATCTCACGGTGTGTTAGATATGAGAAAATATTCAATAAAACCTTGTCCGGAAGTTTTTCGATGGTCTGAAATTAAAAAAATATATATTGAGGTTAACTAATCTAAGTAATTGAAAAAGTATTTTTGTCAGGAACGCAAGGCGTGAAGTTGTGTGATTTGTTTCATTTTGTCTATTTAGTGTTTAATCAGGTTTAAATGTGTAATAATGGTGGTTTATTAACTGTTTAGTATCTGTGAAAGTGCACAAATGTGGGAAAATAAAACAAAGCCGCTGGACGTAACTTCTCGGGATCCTCCAAAAAGTCCATTGAAAAAATCTCAGTAAATGACCACCATTTTACTGAGATTATATTTCATCCTATATCATTTCACCTCATTTCATTTAATTTCATCCCTGTTGATTAATGTCTCAAATTAATCATCCTCATTTCATTACACTCAATATTATCATTTTTCATAAAAATAACAATATAAATTAAAATAAGACATGACTTAAAGGTCTTAGTTACCAGGCCAAAAATCTCTTAAAAAAAGCAATTTAGAAACTATATAAATTTTAATACTATATTTAGTAGGTTTTTAGAGTCACTGATATAATTAAAATTTCTTTCAAGGTTTTAATCTAGCGTTTATTATTACAATTTTATTATTTCTGACGGTAGTTCGCACGATATTCAAATGTCGACGTATAACGCCTAATACGTGACCACGAGAACTATAAAATATTCATCATCATCAGCATGTAGCAGTCCACTGCTGGACATAGGTCTCTCCAATTCCATGCCATTGAGCACGATCCTCGGCTTCTCTCACCCAGTCCGCCAGGTACCCTGCATAAATCGTCACCCCACCGAGCCTAAGCGCGTCCTGTGAGCTTAGTGCGAGTTTTTTAACGTTCTCGATATCGTAAAAGTTAACTCAAATTTGTATGGAGTTTTTTTTTATTGCTTAGATGGGTGGACGAGCTCACAGCCCACCTGATATTAAGTGGTTACTGGAGCCCATAGACATCTACAACGTAAATGCGCCACCCACCTTGAGATATAAGTTCTAAGGTCTCAATATAGTTACAACGGCTGCCCCACCCTTCAAACCGAAACGCATTACTGCTTCACGGCGGAAATAGGCGGGGTGGTGGTACCTACCCGTGCGGACTCACAAGAGGTCCTATCACCAGTAATGGAACGTTTGCCTACGTTTGCTGCTAGGGGCACTGTTCCATCTAACTTTATACAAATTTCAGGTAACTTTTAACCCTCATTCGCACGGGCGTTTTAAAAACGATGCGTTCAAACTCGGCGTCGGCGCTTTTATAACGTTCTCGATGTGACGTAATCTGTAACGCCCAACGCTTGGCGCTCAAAATGCAACACTGCGCGTTAAAAATGCGTCGCGTTTTAAAAACGCTGACGTATGAACGTATACCAGGAAATGCATCTGTTCTATTTAAACGTTTTTTTAACGCGCGCTAAAAAACTCCGGTGCTTTTTTTTTTTTCCTACCTAAGCTGAGAGCCTTGAGAGGCTATTTCAGCGTAACCCTAACGTTTGTAGGTGAGCTCACGGGGCTCAAACCTGACGACGTTGCTAACACGAACCCTAGCAAGAGCCGTGCTTCGCAGAATCTACCACCGGATCGGAAACGCGACCCACTGAGAAGATCCGGCGAGAAACTCAGTGGGCTGTGTCTGAGAGATAATTTACTCGTCGAGCCCTTCGTCGCAAGCGACGGGTTCGACGAGAACGGTGACCGGTGCTTGAAGTAGGTACCTAAAAGCACCGTTAGTGGATCGGGAGGATCCGAGATGACGTGTGGTCCGGTGCGTACGAAACCTTACGCTATTAAGAACGTTAAAAAGCTCGCACTAAGCACACTGCACTACGTTTGTCAATTCGCGGTCTCCACTCAAGAAAATAAGTAGTATTAGTAATGAAAGTGTAATCAACGTCAGAACGTATTTTTAATGCATAAATATTTCAAAAAGTTTGCAAACATGCAATGTCTAAAAAAACTAACAAAATACGCTTTTATAGAAAAACACCCCACGGTTTTTTACAATAAAATAATTTTTAGTTAATTCGTTAATAGATAATTCGGTAGTAACAAATTGGTATTGTATTTGGCTAATTTATTAGTAATTATACAAATACCTAAATACTTTTATCGCGTCTGGTATTTAAAGTAGATAAACTTTGTCTTTACACTACAACATTTGGACAACTACTTGAATAGCTATGACTATAAACAAATGAGTGCACGATATCATGAAAAGTGAAAATAGAAAATTAAATAAGATCAATAATAATTTACAGTTCTCGAAGCGGGTCGCTTGTAAAGTAATAATAAAAAAATGCGAACTTAAATCGCAAAAATAGTTTTATTTATTAAATATTGTTTATGTACTTTTAATGGTGTAATTTACGTTGCTTTTTATTATTATTTTTTAAAGAATTTTATGACCTGGTAACTAAGACCTTTAGGTCATGTCTTATTTTAATTTATATTCTTATTTTTATGAAAAATGATAGTATGGAGTGAAATGAAATGAAATGAAGATGATTAATTTGAGACATTAATCAACTGGGATGAAATGAAATGAGATGGGATTATATGGGATGAAATATAATCTCAGTAAAATGGTGGTCATGTACTGAGATTTTTCAGTGGACTTTTTGGAGGATCCTGAGAAGTTACGTCCAGCAGCTTTCTTTCATTTTCCCACATTTGTGCACTTTCACAGACATTAAACAGTTAATAAGCCCCCGTTACTACACATTTAAACCTGAAGAAACACTAAATAGACAAAATAAAACAAATCAGACAACTTCACTCCTCGCGTTCCCGTCAAAAAGTCTGCTTTTTTATTATTATTATTTAACAGTATAGAATATATTATAGTATAGATTACGAACATCGAAAATGTTATTAACTGAAAATCGCCCCACACAATAGTTTCATGTTTTGAGCATTAAATAGAATAACGAAATAAATATCGATCATACAAAGAAATTACGTTATGTTTATTTCCGTACAGTCGCCATTAAAATGACTGATTTATTTGTGGCCATAAATTAAATAAAACCATCGTATTTCACGATAAACATAACAAAATCTAAATCAACATTTGACGTGCATTACGTAAATTTGTTACGAAATTTTATAGAATAACCAAATTGGCATTACCGTGCTCGCGAATGGACTCCGCACTTGGCCTCCCTCGGTCAGGTACACTTGCGAGGCCTCTAAAGCCAGCTGGCCCCACACATCAGTGGAAATATCCATGGTAGAACGCTTACTTCAACACTTTCGGACCCAACAAATGCATTCGTTATGTGATTAAGCCGTGCACTTTCCTATTTAACTTGAATAAACCCGAAATGCTAGCAACGTACGATGAATAAATAAGTGGAACGCTGCTTCTAATTTTGGAACGGTCTGGGAACGCGCGAGACGATAGCGCGCGCTAACGTAATATTTTAAGAATGCCTCAATATTTATTTACTGCTTTTTTGTTGTTGTTGTTATTATTACTGCAAATGGACGAATGATGCGCCACCTGTTATCCATCATCATCTTAGGCCTTACAGCCCCGGGTGGGCCTTAGCCGGTCCAGTATGTCTCTCCAGACTGCTCTGTTCATAACTGTGTCCTTCCAGTTCCTGACACCGATAGCTTTGAGGTCGCGTTCTACGCCATCTAACCATCGGAGTTTGGGTCTGCCACGACTTCTGCGGCCCTCTGGTTTGCCAGAGAGCAGTTGTCTTGGCATTCTGGTATTCTCCATTCGAATCAAATGTCCTAAGTGGTTACTAAAAAGCGTTCACATTTCACCCACCCTTGGAATGTGAGGTCGTAGTTACAGTTGTACTGCAAAAAACGCATATCCAACTGACATTTTCGCAGCAGAAATAGACTACATAGACCTGAATGAAAACCCTAACGAAGCCGATGCGTGTGTAAACTTGATACTTACAAACGTGTAGGTATACTTGACTGGTAACAAAAAAACGGGGCAAAATGCCGAGGCTCGATAGAATTCTCAAAAAGCATACGTGAAGACAGACAAGATGAAAGATGACTGTGGTCACGTGAAGAAATAACCACCCCCTTACTTTTCATCTAGGACTTCTAGGAGGACTCTTAAACACCGACTGAGCTCTCGCTACATTGGTTTTTAAGTAGGCGAAAAAATGGGGGCCCTAAAAATAATTTATTCTCAAAGTGGGCAGTAAACAAAATAAGTTTGGGAACCCCTGGTGTAAGGTATACACACGTAAAATTAAAACACGAATACCGTCATGGTTGACTATGTTTCATTGAACTCTGCGTTCAAGAAGACTCGCGCAATCGACTCCAAATTTCGAATTACGTTGCGGGATCAAGAAACATTGTACTTATTAAGGCTGTAAGGTGATCACCTTGTCAACCAAGAGCCAAATATAGATAACACACAATTGAAATTTATTCAAAAAGAATAAAAAGATATATGTTTTCTTTTTCTTCTAAGCTATACATGCGAAATACGGTCAGTCATCAGATCTTTGAAGCTCCTAGACACTCTTTTTGCGATGAAGAAGAAGCTCACTACTTTTCTATATTTTTTTACCTTACATTTTTCCTTTGAAAACGTTTTATCAAAAAAGAAAAGCGACTTCGGCAGTATAAAATGGGAAAATAATCGATGTAATCCGAATCTAAATATTAAACATGTTTAATTAAGGATAACACAAAAACTATCACTCGTCAGATCTTGATAAAATTAAAATAGGACTACAAGGGAATCAATAGATTTTAAATGAAAAATATCAACAAAATAATTTTCTTTAAAAAAATTGTTGTGAGTTAACGCGAAAAAAAAAATTATAATTATTGAAAAATAGAATTGAGAATCGCCTCCTTTTTTGAATTCGATTAATTATAACGTACTTTTACACACAGCAAAACTTGACTTGGCACTTTGCTCTAAGACTTAGTTTAGGGACTAGAGGGCGACCCAAGCAACTCTTTATCGCAGGGTAACGCAACGTCTTCCATCTGTCCCCAGCACCATGACATGTCCTTCTTC